CCGCTGCTGCCCCTTGAACTTTTTGTTTGTTTGAGACAGGGTTTCTCTGTATAGCCTTGGCTGTCCTGGAACTCCCTTTGTAGGCCAGGTTGGCCTCAACTCAGAGATCTGCCTGTCTCTGCCTCCCGAGTGCTGGTAGTAAAGGCATGTGCCACTACGCCAGGCTGACCTTGAATTTCTTTCTTTCTTCCTCTCCTTTCCCCCTCCCGCCCCCAAAGAGACAGGGTTTCTCTGTGTAGCCTTGGATATCCTAGACTCATTCTGTAGACCAGGCTGGCCTGGAACTAACTCACTGGCATCACATTTCCTTTGATGACCTGGCCTCCAGGGGCTCAGGAGAGGAAGGTACTGCATTAATTTAGGAAGGCTACAGTAGCTGAGTTCGGTATAACTGAAACGTAACTGTCTCATACTTCTGGAGCAAAGTCTAAAATCAGTGTATGTCCTGATGGCTGTAGAGGAATGGTTCCTGGTCTTTTCCCAGACTTTGATGATTTGCTGGCAGTCTTTGGCATTCCCCTGCCCCACCTTTTACTTCTTTCTAATGTTGGAGCTTTAAGTCAAGGGGCTTATGTATGCTAGGCAAGTGCTCTATCAGCAAGCTAATTCCCAGCCCTCTTTGGCACTCCATTCTCACATCGTATTCTGACTCATTGACTTCCTGACTCTACTCATTAGATCATCAGTCACACCAAGTGGATTGAATTAGGGTTTCTTCTTATACCCTGTGGGTGCAAACCCCTGCGAGTTATATATCAGATATTCTGCATATCAGGTATTCATATCAGGATTCACAACAGAAGCAAAATTACAGTTATGAAGTAGCAACAAAAATAATTTTATGGTTGGGGGAGGTCATCACAACGTTATGAACTGTATTAAAGGGCTGGAGCATTAGGAAGGTTGAGAACCACTGTCTTTTTTTTTTTTTTTTTTCTTTAGTTTTACGAGTCAGGGTTTTTCTGTGTAGCCTTGGCTGTCTGGACTCAACTTTGTAGACCAGGCTGGCTTCAAACTCACAGAGATGCACCCCCTCTGCCTCCCAGGGTGCTGGGACTCCAGGTGTGTGCCACCACTGTTTTATAAGAACCTTAATCCTATTAGAATCGAGTGCGACTTCCACTTTGCACCGCCCTCTGTTGGAGCAGAGGTGTGACCTCCACTCAGCACCTGAAACAGCCGGAAAATCAGGCCTCATTTGAAGGCACAGGGGTTTAGGACTTTAATGTATTTTTTTTAACCCCCCATAACATGCATTTCTGTGTGTAAAACTGGTCCCTGAGGCCCTGCAGGTAAGCCAGTCCATTAGTTAATGAGTTCTGAGTCAGAAAGCTTGGGTTGAAATCTTGACTTTGTTGCTGTGTGTGACTAAGGCATATGAAACAGGAACACATTATAATAACAGTTCTTGAGGTTGGAGGATTAGGACAAAGACCTTTGCTCCACGCTGGGGATTAAGTGTTGGGGAGTACCAGTTACTCCTGTGCAGTGAATAGTTGTTCCCAGCTCCTCTCATTGAGTTCTCTAGGAGCATTCCCTGCAGACACACAGGCCTGGGGCATAAGGAAGTGCATCTTCTTTGTAAGGGAATTAAGGTAGGGTGGAGAGCGGGAGGAGCTCTTTTAATGTATACACATAAGAGAGCTCACATTTACCGTCCTTTGGAATTTTTCTTTTCTTTTTTTCAGACTCTTCCAACAGAAATGGGAAGACATTTCTCAGAGATGTGTCCTGGAGATTGCAGAGACTGCTAAGAGAAGACTGAAGGAACTTCAGGAGGGGCTAGGATGTAGCTTAGTTGGTAGATTGCTGATCTACCACAGAAGAGGCCCTGGATTTGGTCCCCAGTGCAGGCTAGGTAAAACCAGGGCTGTCGTGCACATCTGTGACACCAGCGCTCCAGAGGTAGATACGTGAGGGGGAGGAAGAAAGAGGACAGCTCTCAGGATGTGGTTATTTTCTTCCACCTGGTGGGTCCTGGAACTCAAACTCAGGTCTTCCAGCTTGGCAGCAGGTGCCATCTTACCAGGCCCACACACCCACCTTTTAACATGGACGCTGGGGAACTGAACTCTCAGGCTTTCTGCCCATACAGCAAGTGCTTTAACTGCCTGTACCTTTAAGCTACCTCTCCAGCCCATCCCCCACTTTGGGACAGGTACACCTGTCAGTCACAGCAAGGAGAATCACAACTTCAAGGCCAGCCTGAGCTACCTATTAAGAACATCTCCAAAACAAAGCAAAAACAAAACATCCTCAAGCATGTGTGTATAAGTGTGTGTTTCCCTTTTTACACTTTTTTTTAAAATATATTTCTATTTTCTGCCCATTCTTTGGTTTCCAGACTTGCAGATCCAACTCAATTGCTATTTGCAAAACAACAGTACAAAGTTAATGGGTCTGGAAAAAAACAAAAACCCAAATGCTTGTCTACCAGCGCTTTCCCTTTTCTTGGTTCCCACAGTAGCTCAAACCAGAGGCATTTTCATTCCCTAACCACAACAACATGAATGAGTCTTGTCCCTCTCCTTCCAGCATCCCCGAGTCCCTAAGTGATGGATCATTAGTTCTGGCCGGCATCTAGTCTCAAATGAATTCATTACACAGAGAAACTCTGTCTCGGAAAAAAAAAAAAATTTTTTTTTAATTCATATTTGATCACCAGTGAAGATTTCCCCAAGTAATGGCTAGTTCTTAGTATGGTATCTTTTCTATAGTTTGTTTAAAAAAAAAAAAAAAAAAGTGCATTGAAAATGCCTGCAGTCCCAGTACTCAGGAAGGTAGAAGCAGGCGGATCTGTGAGTTTCAGACTAGCCCGGTCAATAAAACGAGTCCAGGACAGCCAAGGCTACGCAGAGAAACCGTCTTGAAACACAACAAACAAGAAAGTGCCATGTTGCCTTTGTAATGGCAACACTTGTGGAGGCAGGAGGATCAGGAGTTCAAGGTCAGCCTTGAACTTCCCAGTTTGAGGCCAGTGGAGGTTACCCGGAACACAGTTTCAGAATATCGAAATAAAGTAAGTAAGAAGCAGAAAGTGCCTAGGCTTTAAGGATCAGAGTGGGACTGGCTGGCAAGCGGAACCCTCGTCCCATCCAATCGCGTGAAGGTAGTTTATTTTCTCAAGTTGTTGGAGGCAGTGTCTCAAGGCGACCATTTCTTCGAAGGCAAACTTTCCCCAAACCCAAATCATTCAGAGGAGAGACACTCTGACAACACTAACGTTGCTAAAATGGGAAAAGCAACCTGCATTCGAGTGCTACAAGGCACTCATATTATCGATCAATGAATGGCCACCTATTATTTATACTCGCAATGCTATGGAATACTCTCCAGGTTACCGGGAAGCTAAATTCCTAGGCGAGGGGAACACTGAACCCCCACCAGCCTTTTCCAGGGGACGCACCGTTCCAAGGCAGGAACCTGGCTGACACTTGGGAAGAAGCAGAGCCCTGACGCGTGCCAAGCTTACTGTGCCCGGTACCCAGACACCTACCCCGGCCCGTGTGCGCAACGCTGGGCCAGCTCTTCTCGCGAGAGCACCGGCAGGGCGGGCCCGAGAGGCGCCGGGATGCCAGGGGTGCGCTCCAGACCGCGCCCCTCTTGGCGCTGCCGGGAGAGAGGCGCGCGCAAGCCGGGGAGGGAGCGGCCCGTGGCGCGCACGCGCAGGACGGCGAGCTGGTAAGGGGAGGGGGCATGCGGGGACCGGAGGGCGAGGGGCGGGGCCTTGCGTCGCGCCGTGGGCACGTCGTTGCGCGTCCTCAGTATTTAATGTCTCTGTGTTCGCCCGGCCTGGGCTAGCACGTGGGGGAGCGGCCGAAGCGGGGTGTAGCGCTGCGGGGCAGGGCCGCGGGGCTAGGTTGGGGCTGGGGGGCGGTGGCGGGAGGACTGTGTTACCTGGACGGTCGGCCGGGAGCAGGTAAGTGGCGGCTGGCGCGGGCATCCGCCTGCCGGGCCCGGAGGGAGAGCGAGTTGGGGTGATGGGGAAGCTGGGGTGCAGGTGCAGGGGGCGACGCGCGCGCCAGGAGCTCCCGGGACGGAGAGGCGTGTGCACGGCGCTCGCTGTCAAGCGGGCAGGTTTGTGCCTTAGTGACCAGCGCGCCCCCCCGCTCCTCCTCCCCGGTCGGGCTGTCTGCCCGCGGGCTGCTGCTGACAGCGTGCGCTGAGCTCGGGGCGCCGCTCTGAGCTGCTGCTCCCCCCCTTCCCATCCCCCGCACGTCACTGGCTTCGAGGATGGAGATGAAGGCTCAAGTCCCCGGGCGCCCCGGTGCTCCTCAACTTTCCCAGTGCTGGCTCACCCTTCTGGGTGGCGAACCCGACCATGTCCCACCCAAGGTCGTCCAGCCTCGCTAGCGTTTACTTTTCAAAGGTCGTGTGTACCCAGTTTGAGCGTTGGAGAGGAGGCAGCGGGGCGGTCTCTGCCCAGGACCCGGTGCCCAAGGCGGGAGAGGAGGTCTTTGGGGATCCTTTCCCTAGGTGAGGGATCAAAGTTGGAACTGGCCACTTTTGGAGCCTCTAACTTCTGGACTCGGTTGAGTTGCTCTAGGTTGGCTCGGCAGTGGTGGCAAACCCGGGCAGGTAGTCGAGGTTCCTGGAGTTCCGAGCCGAGAGCTATTGGAGCTGGGCTCTGCGGACGCAGTGGGGAGGGTGGGACGCAAGACAGGTCCCAAGCCAATCGGCAGTGGAGGGATTGTAAGAACAGTGAGGCTAGGGAGGTCGAGGGCTTCCGCGTCTCAAAGAGGATTAGAGTCAGTGGCCCCATAAGCGTGTCTCAAGCGGTGGAGGACCTCCATCTTCAGGTGCTTGCTGACTTCTGGCCTGGGGGTCGGGGGGTGGGGTGGGAATCCAGGGTCACGTGTCGTACTCCCCCTTCCTTCTCACCCCAGGTCATCGATCTGGAAGGACTTTGGGGGAAGTTTGCCGAAGTCATGGGTAGAAAGTAGGCCTCGGGACGCGTCAAGGGGCCGACATTCTGTTGTCAACTACTCCTGTGCCCTAGGTTATGGCTTTTCCTGTTTCCTTGCTGTGGGAAGGGAAGGTGCTGTTGGTGGTTTGGGGCTGTGCAGAAGAGACCTCTGGAAGCCCTGTGCATAACGGCATCTTTCTCCTCCGGGAAATACCTCGAGCGACCGGTACCATTCTACCCTTGGGCTGTGGTTAACGCAAACCCGGTGGACTTCGCTCCAGGTGCGAGGGGAGGCTTCTCAAACTCGGTAGGGTAGGGTGTAGGGCAATTTGTGAGCTTAAACTGCCGATCTTTCCCCTACTGAAATTGAGGCTGCTTGGGGTTTAAATTTAACTCCTGCAGTGAAGTCGGGGCTGCTGGATCCGAAGTCACCGTCTGTTGGTTTACCACCTTCCTCCGTGCCCAGGTATTGTAGTTACCATCCAGAAGCACTGTTCACAAAAAAAAAAAAAGCTGTTCCTTCTGGCAATCAAAAAGCCTCACATGCATGTTTAACTGCAAAAAAGTCTTTGCCAAATTAGTAACCGCGGGGTTTTGTTTTGTTTTAAGCTCTTAACTTTAGAAAGTGAAGCTTAAGAGTCTTAGGGCTGCCTACCCTTTTCTCTCTTAAAGGTACAAAGCCCCTATAAATTCTACGAAGGAGTTGCTCTCCTATCGGATTCTTCTCTTATTGTCATTTAAGTGGCTCACCTGAAGATTATTTAGGACTCAATCAGAGGTTGTATTTGGGGATCTTCTCCCCCCTCCTCGCCCCTTGGTGTTGAGCCTGTTTTGTAGGTTCTGAGTAATTCCTGGGTGTAGTATTGTGAAATTAAAAAAAAAAAAAAGGCCTTGGGTTAGAGGAGGCCCTTGTAGCCTATGGTTAGGCAAATCACTAAAGCTTCAGGCAGTCCACTAATTCAGTAGGCTGTGTTCTGTAGAGGGGGCCCATGGCTGTCCAACCCAGTGGGTGAGACCTGGTCCAGATCTAGTTTGTCTCTACATGGAGTTCCTTATGGGAGTCTCTCCCATCTCCCAGCTGTTTGCAGAAATTGCATTCACAGTTGGCTACTGCAGGGTGACAGTGGAGCTGCCTGCTTAGATGCTAAAAGCGATGTGTCGGGTTGCAGACCATCGATACTTCCAAGCAATCTGTCTTGCTACCTGGTAACCCAGATTATACTTGGACCTGTGCCCCAGGCTGGTCATAGGCATAGTTTGTGGAGGAAGGTAGTTTTAACTTCCAGTTTCCCCTCTCGCATCCTAAGTATAGATGGAGATCGTAGTTAAGACTTGGGACTGTGCCTGGTATATGGTAGGCATATACCATACCTAAGTATGGTATCTCTCACTCCCAAGGAATCCCTGTGTTTGACTCAGTCATCTGATTATTTCAGTATAAAAGCACTCCCTCCCCTACCTAGCCTCTGACCTAGTAACTTGGTTATAAGGAAAAGAAAGACAAATTGGTTTCTCCATGCTTGTCTTGATCACACTGGCATTTTAACGGCATCGGAGTTCATGTGCCTGGAGAGCTGCCCTATTTTCTGTGGTCACTCCTTCCTTCCTAATGCTCCTTGTGAATTTGCCATGCCCAGGCCTCTCTGCAGCTCGGTCTTTTCCTGTGTGGAGGAAGTTTGTGTCTGGCATTTGTTTCTTTGAATAGTCATCCCAGGAACTTTGTTATGGGGAGTGCTTGGATTCTGTGGGCCCATGTGCCACTGAAATCACCTCATCTTCTAATGTTTGAGAGTTGCTAATCTCTACAGTGTCATCTGTTGAAGGCCTAAATCTTGCTTCATAGGGCCTATTCTCCTACCTGGTGTAGTCAGTCTCATCTTTCTCAAGTACTTGATTGAACATAGGGGCCTTATGCATGGTAAATATTATACCATTGAGCATTAGCCCTAGCCCCAAGTGTCCTTTTTCTTATTCTTTTTTCTTTTTTTACTTTTTTGGTTTTTGGAGACGGTTTTTCTGTGTAGTCTTGGCTATCCTGGACTCACTTTGTAGACCAGGCTAGCCTCAAACTCAAAGAGACCACCTGCCTCTGCCTCTCTGAGCGCTGGGATTACAGGTGTGTGCCACTGGGACTGACTTTTCTTTTTCTTTTTTTTTTTTTTTTCCAGACAGAAGTCATGGTATGTAACTGAGGCCAGCCTAAACCCCAAATCCTCCTGCCTCACCCTCCCAGGTTCTGGGATTATGAGCACGCACCATCACTGCTCAACTCCTTTTCCTTTTGTTTTCTTCCTCCTGATGGCACATGTCACTGTGTCCTGGTCCTCGCCATTTGAATGCTCTTGCAGTTCTCATTAGTAAACATTCTGTTCTCTGTCCTGTATACCGGCTGCTTGTGTTCCTTCAGCCTTGTCTGTTTGTATCAGGAGCAAAGTAAGCCAATGAGGTGAGTTCTGGAGGAGAAGCATGAAGCACACAGTGCTCAGGATAAAGGAGGCTTGCAGCTGCTGGCCTTAACTGTCAAGAGTTTAGGGCTTGCTGTAGCTCTCCAAGCTCTGACCAGCCTACTGGCCCTCTAGGGTCTTTTTTTTTTTTTTTTTTCCAAGGAGACTTGGTGAGCTAAAGGCCTTAAAAGTATTCTGATTATGGGTTGGAGAGAGAGCTGGTTAAGTCTCAGGCTTATACCTGAAAGGCATTCTGATTCTACTCTGGGGGTTAGGGCAAGGTATCTGGGGTCTGCTGGAGAAATGGGGCTGGCCCACCACCCTGGGCAGTGCAAGTCAAGAAAGAACATTTTATCACCATGAAAAGTTGTAGATGGTGCAGGTCTAGAATATTCCTCATCCTTCTCTAAAATCTTAGTTACCTTAAGGTGTAAGTGTCTAAAAAGCACCATGTTCCGATTTTAGTGTTCACAGACACTACCACTTTGGTAACAAAAGTTTTTCTTTGCATGGCATGCTAAGAAGCAAGTTCTGGTCTACAGTGAGGGAGGAAATGGTTCCTTAGGGTGTAGATTGAGAAATTATCTTAGTGAGAGGCCCAGGAACATGAGCATGAAGCAGAGCAGCCAGACCTGAAGCCCTTACATAGCCATGTTGGTTTGAGAGCTTGCTTATCACGGTAACTTATTACTAGTTCTCTAAGACCTGTCTGTGTTCATTGTCCTTGGTCTCCAAATGTCATGTCACCAGACCTCATAGCTTCAAAAAAAAAAAAAAAAAAAAAAAAACACCTCAGTGTGAAACCTCTCTGCTAAACCAGTTTTAATTTTTATTCTGTGTAATACTTTTTTTTTTTTTCCGGAGACAGGGCTCATTCCTTAGACCAGGTCAGCCTCCAACTCACCCAGCTCCACTTGCCTCTGCCTCCCAAGCCCTGGAATTAAAGGCGTGCACCACACTGCCTGGCTGTGTTTTTGTTGTTTGTTGGTTGGTTTTTGTGACAGGGTCTGCCCGAGTATCTCAGGCACGTGCTGTATAGTGCCACTTGGCCTCAGGTCATTCTGTTAGAACCTTCTTTCCAAACACTGAGACCACAGACCCGAGCTTCTGTGTCTGACTTCCCCAGCAGCCCATCTTAATGTTAGGAGGTGTCCTTTTACAGAAGGTCCTGAAATGTTGGTGTGGGATACGCCGTTGGGGGGGTGTGCACTTTATTTCTAGGTGACCCTTTTCATCCCATGTTGCGTGGCAAAACTTCTCCTGGGGAGACATGCACCCCAAATAGGGATCACAGGACAGACCAAAGTGTGGACACCACCAAAGTCAACTTTGGTAAACCAAAGAGTTTTATTGGTTACTATAGGAGAATATGGGTGAGGGGTTGCTTACAGGAGTAGAAAAGCTGCATCACGAGGCCCACCCTTGAGTTTTCATGCTTTCATCTCTGAGATTAAGTATCTCTAGTTTGAAACTGAGGCCCCAAATAGTAAGGTAAGGTGACCCCCAGAACACTGGACAGATGTTGGGCTGACTTTGGATCTGGTTTGATGTGTTTTTTTGGCCTTGTTTTTGTTTTGTTTTGTTTTTCGAGACAGTGTTTCTCTGTATGGCCCTGGCTGTCCTGGACTCGCTTTGTAGACCAGACTCATAGATCTGCCTGCCTCTGCCTCCCAGAGTGCTGGGATTCCAAGTGGGTACCCGGCTTGGGTTGATGTATTGGTTACTTTCTCATGTAATGGCCTATCCTTGAGACTGGTATTTACAGCTCCATTATCACCCCCTCTGCACAACATGATAATTGGGGTTTTTAAAAGTTAAAAGTTTAGAGCTGGGTGTGGTAGGTAGCTCACACTTTCAATCCCAGCTCTGGGGAGATAGAGGCAGGTGGATCTCTGTGAGTTCAAGGCCAGCCTGGTCTACGGAGAGTCCAGGACAGCCAGGCCTCTGTTGACATAGAGAAACAGTCTCGAAAAATGTAAAAAAAGAAGAAGAAAAAAAAAAAAGAATTCACAGGAAACTGAAGTTCAGCTCTTACTCTTTCAACTCTTTACAAAGCCTGTCATCATTAGGGAAATGCACCTTTGAAATGCACAAGTAATTACTGAATAAGAAAGCCTCGGGGGCTGGGAAACTGAGCAGGTTGCAAGACAGCCTTGAAGTCACTCATTCCTTGGCTAATAATAACATGGCCTGTCAGACCTCACGTGGAGGTCATGAGACCATCCCCTGGCCCTCAGCAGGCTGTTACCCGAGAGAGGAGGAGACAGCAAGGTTGGTCCAAGACAGCCCCCAGCCTTGGTCTGGCTGTGCCTTTGTGAGGATGGGAGATGGCACCCCATTTGGAGGCTGCTCTTGTCTGCTGTTCATCTCTTCCTTGTCACTCCAACAGTGACAGAACAGTGACTCCCGACTTGTCCAGCTGCCCTGGAGAGAGACCAGCTCTTAAGAATAACCTCCTGGCTTTGTCCTTCAGCTTCGGTGTGACCCCCTCCAGCAAGCTTGTGGTTATTTTTAGCAGGTGGCATCCCTCAGAGTCAAGCGCATGTGGCTGCAAGTGTCCAGGACAGGCCCCTTCTGGGGCCACTGCTACCTAATGAGGGGAGGAGGAGACTAAAGCCACCTTAGAAAACTGCTCTAGCCATTGACCCTGGGCTGCTGGAGAGGTCTCTCAGATTGCCTTTTCTATTCTGGGTTGGGGCAGGGCCAGGCAGGCATGTGATTGAGGCCATCAGTGAGCTAGGGAGAGGGGCCAGTTCCTCTCCTAGGAAATGAGGCCCACTTGTTACCCCTAGGAAAACATCTTAACCCCCACTCCCCACCCTATTCCTGCCCAAACC